GAGAAAGCGCGACGGTTCCCATTGCTCACCTCAACGCAGGTCTATCTGGCCAAGTCCTTGGGGCCGCATGAGAGGAGATTCTTTATTCACATCTCAGATGGGTAGTTGTTCACAGTACGCTACAAGGTTGCGCCGGACATGACCGGCCTGGACTGGCCAAGTCTTCTTTGGGCGCGCGCTTGCACCAGTGGTTCTCATCATTTTGATATATTCGGACAGCATTAGTTACCAGACCGTGTCGCTTTCGATGCAAAACAATCACACATTTGCACTCAACAGGTAACACTGCGCGTCAAGTTTTTCTCGTTGCATTAAATCGAAAGTAAATAACATTACAAATACTGTGAGGGCTGTCCGTTTTTCCGCCGCCCGTACTATGTAGTGGGAAAGAATATGTCTAGATGTGCTCAAGGACAGGATATCTAATGGTCTATAAGGAGCGTGGGTTGTGTCATTAAGTCGTAAAGCGGAGAGATGTGCAAATGAGTTCCCCAAGATCCGTCGTGCGTGATAAGTACTAAATCATTCTCATGCCTGGGGAGCGGCAGTGCGCTTGGGCATTTCCATGTCCACCCCGCGGAAGCGCATGCCACGCTTCTTCTTGGACGAGGTGGTGCTGGTGCTAGTCGACGAAGTCTTCTTCTTCTTGTCATCGTCATCAGACTTGCTGGTGGTCGTGGCCTTGGAGGTGATGGTCGAGCTGGCAGGAGTGGTAGCGGGAGAAGTGACCACGGGGCTCGTGGTGGTGCTCACGACCAGAGTCGAGGGCGTCGAGCTGGGGGTCGAGCTTGGGGACGGCGCATTGGTCTTGGTGGCCCAGTAAGCGTCCAGACGGCTCTCAACCTCTTGCTCGTTATTGTAGGGCTGGAGCTTGGCCATGTACTCGACCCGAGACTTGATCGCGTCCCAGCTAGATGCAGCAGAGTTTTCATTCTTGGAGCGCCACTCCAACTGCATGGGGTCGGCGAAGGCTTCCTCGTCGTAGCCAAGGTCCTCGAGCTTGGTGACGTTGAAAGCAGCCATCATCTCATGGTCCTCGTGGATGAGGTTGTGGCAGTGGAACATGTACACACCGGGCCAGGGGGCGTAGTGAGCCTCGACGGTCACAGTCTCACCAGGTCCAACCCAGACGACATCCTTGAGACCCTGAGACTCGTACGGGAAAACCGTGTTGCTACGGCCGTTGACGCGCTTGATGACGCGGAAATCGACGAGGTGGATGTGGATTGGGTGGCTCCAGCCGCCGGAGCTGTTCTCGAGCTCCCAAACCTCAACAGTACCCCGTTTAGGCTTGGCAAGGACGCGGTTGTTCACATCAGCAAAGATGACACCGTTGATACGCCAGTCGCTGCCGGTGCGGTGGAACAGGAAGTGCTGATCAACGCCGGTCTTGTCCTTGGGGAACGGCACGGCCCGGAGGGAGGAGGGGACTTCGGACTTGTCATTGACCGATTCGTCGCTGACTACAAAGCGCATAACCTTATCGGTGTGCAGATAGTCCACATCCGCGGCGAAGCCTCTGGTGTTGCGCATGGTGACATTCTCGCCCTTATACTTGGAGAAGTCAATGACAATCTCGTAGCGCTCGGCCATGGAGATGTAGAGATCCTTGACCTTCTGGGGTCCCGTCAAGAGGCCGGCATCGGAGGAGATGACTTCGAATTCGACTCTGTTGGCCTTGAGATCTTCGAGGTAGAGGAAAAATGTACGGGAAATGGCGGCATCGAGAAGACGGAAACGGTACTTGCGGGGTTCGACCTTCAGATACGGCCAAGGCTGTCCGTTGACATGGATAACATCGCCGTATAAGCTAGTCTGTTCGTTGGCAGGCGAGTACAGAGTACCATCGGAATTGTATTGTTTCGCAGAGAGAATCAGAGGAATGTCGTAGACGCCGTAACCGCTGGGGAGGCCAAGAGAGTCTTCAGCAGAATCGTGGAGGATGTATGCGCCAGCCTGGCCAAAGTAGGCATTCTCGGCAGTGTGGTCGATGGCGTGGTCGTGGTACCAGAGAGTGCGGGCGTTCTGGTTATTGGGATAGTAGTAGTCTTTGTACTGGCCAGGATTGAAGACATCTTCAGCCCAACCATCCCAAGGTGTGCGCTGAGCAAAAAAAGTTAGATGATAATATTTCAAAGGTGGATGGTTCTAAGCCTTACCGAAGGAGAGCCGTGAAGATGAACTGAGCTGGCCATCTTGGCGTGGTTGATGAAGCGAACGACTGCCTCTTCGCCACGCTCCATGAGGAAGGTTGGTCCAGGCGCTATGCCATCATATCCGACCAAGTTTGCAGGCTTGAGGTTGGGGTAAACTTGAGCGGTGAACTCCTTGACCTCAACCTCATAGTACCTGATCTTCTTTCCGGTCACTGGATTGATGATCGCCTGGTTGGGGCTGCTGAAAGTTAGCCGCGAGAGCTCTTCATCAACGAACGGTATAAGCTGCGGATGTGGCTTACTATCGTTCCTCCTTAGGAGGGGGAATTGGTAGAGGAAACTCGTAGAGCCATGTGTATGCGGGACTGTCCCAGTCCTTGGCGATGGTATCAGAAGCAAGAGCCAAGACAATGGCCAGAGACTGGCGAAGGGTGAGAGAGACCATGGCGGAGATGGAAGATGATATGCAGGGAAATGAGCCAAGAAAAACAGTGCAAGTGACAAGTGCTGGCCAAGACGGGTGGCGACGCCTTTGTAACTGTCAAATGCTTGGAAGGAGATAAGGGCGATGGAGAAGATTTCCGTTCGTAGGGACAGAACTCCAGTATTTATCAACTTTCATCTTTCATCTTGATCAAAAATCTGGGTGGTCGAGGCGGCGAGACCATGGACCGAGTTACGGCGATCCAGTCCAATCTAACGAGACCCACGCCGGCCCCCAGGTAGAAAGCCACAACGACAGCCTTAGCAATGGCGTGAGCCGGTGAATGGTTGACCTCGAGCGAAATGTTTCCCGCACAGAGGTTATCGGCTAGCCCTTTGGAGCCATAGCATCGCTAGTCTGAGCTGCTCTCTAAGGCGAGCAATATCCTTGGGATGGGTGGGCTGACGAGGGCGTACTGTAAAGCTCAATGGCCGACTTACGGTCCTTCAACATAGATCGCATCGTTCGGCGTCAGTGGGGCATGTCGTTGTCCATGCATACACTCCAAGGGCAGATTTCTGGACGGTGAAGAAAGTAGGCCAGTCTAGAAACACGCGGTAGATGCAACACTCTTGTCCGAATATGCCGAGGGGGGTCCAGGCCATCGGCAACCCAGGATCTTGGTTCAGCAGAAGCAGCAGCCAGGGGATGGTCGAGCTAGTCTCTAGCACGTACGATCCGTTTGGTATCTCGAAGGTGACCCCATCTGCAAACTCGTGGATCGAAGATACGAATAAAGAAGTCAACGGGCGGCAGCTACAGCCATCCAGATCCAAGCCCTCAACGTCGGATTGCTTCTTGTGGTTGGGTCAGTGGGTAGGCCGTCAAGACGAGCGCCACTCTCGCGTAGCGCGCAGTTTGATGCATGGAAATGTAAGAAAAGCTTTTGCCAGCCGGGCGCGGGAGGTTTACCTGACGCTGGTCAAGACGACATGAGAAGGCTGGGAGTTGACGCCTGGTGTCGAGGCCATAAAGAAAGAGCTAGTGCGGCTGTTCAGTCAGTCTAGGTCCCTTGTTCTTGAATCTGGTGTGGCTATTTCAGCCTCAGAACCTTCGACAATGCAAGATATCAATAGCGCGAGCCTCCTAAGTTGAAACGAGCCACTGAGCGAGCACCAAAAATGGCCCAGCGAGACTATTCTGGGATCACGGTACCGGCTCGAGCGCCAGTATCGGTTGGCGCAGGATGCCTAAGAGCTGATGTGTATTCAATGGACAGTAGAGGAAGAAGCGACTCGGAGCTGACATGCAAGAGGTTCCAGGGTACTGGGTCGGTAGTCTGTCGAGTTGGAGGTGGATGGGATCATTGACAAATCGGACTCTGCGTTCCCCAGAGCACGGGAGCAGGGATGCTGCCCCGGACCAATGGCTTCGGAGTTGTGGAAGTGTGCATCGTATCTGGTCCAGCTGCAAGAACATGAGAGCTGAACAGCTCGAAGCAGGCATTCTGTGCGAACGAACGCTGCGGGCCTCCACACACACACAGGCCTAAAGTCGGTCTTTATCGACGCTTGAGCCGGCTCTGATCGGTTCCCGACTGGGCATCCTTCCCATCCGATGATGGAGGGGTACACCCTGGTTCATGCCAACCTCATGTCATCTATGACAGGCAGAACTTTCTCGTTGGTGTCATTAGGCTGACAATGCTTAGCATACGGTGTCAGCAGCCGACCTCAACAAGAGGTTGTCGAAGGCTGGTTGAGAGAGCCAGACGCAGTCTTGTGGCACGTGATGCGGTGTGGAAGCCGGAGGGTGCGCTGCCACTGGGACTGGAGAGCGTGGCCAGGCCGACAACTTGACAAGACTATCGTACGCCACATTGACGCAGCTGATGGATGCTGCAGAATGCTTATTCCTTCGATGATGCGGCCATGATTCGACGACATGTCTTCTCGGCGAGCTTTTCGTCCGACTTCTGCGCAGAGAAGAAGCTTCGCATCGATATCGGATGGATCGTTGAAGTTCGGACAATGCACATCGTCTGGACTTTGAAGGTCTAGTAGTCTGATCTCAGGGGTAAACTGGAGGATACGTGGAGGCAGTGTCCATGTTTCGGCCGGAAATGGAAAAGATGAGAGGTGGGACAAAGCGTTGAATTCGCCGGAATTGGCGATGAGGTGAGAAAGAAAGGCACTCGGAGGAGGAGGGAAGAAAGTTGGGTGGGTGGGAAAAAGGCAGCAGTCAGTAAACCCAGGCGACACCTTCCCCAAGTTTTCGGTTCCTGGAGCCCCACAGTTTAGTGCCAAGCCGCTACCGTCGCTAAACCTTATTAGCGCTTCAGCCCGGACCAAGATGAAGCTTAATTATCTCGAGTTTGATTGGCCAAGCTCTCGTGATCGGGGCTTCAGGGTCCACCTTAGTCAGGCGCTCGTTGTCCACCTCCGTTTCCCATCGCCGCCGCTAAACGTCGAAAACCTCCGAGTAAACTTAACTACACCACATTCTCTGGCCGTGTCCTTCGGCGCTTTGTGCTCGTATACCCCAGGCTGCCACACCCTATCGACTTGCCAGCGAATCATCCACCCGGCAGTCGTGGGATCAGGACTCCAGCTATCCAGACTGCCGGGTCGTGAACAAAGAGGCCACACGAGCGGTTCCTTGTCCTTGTCCTTGTCCTTGTCCTTGTCCTCTTCGAAGCCGCATCCTCAAGCCCAAGCCGATGACCATGTCTCGAAGCCCCCAACGTTTCTTGTTTCACGCCAGACGTTGCGTACCGTATACGACGAAAAGCCTGTTCGGATGATTGTCAAAGGATACGCACGCGACGCGCTCTCGACTTCTTTACTGAGTCTTTGTCGTTTGGACCTTACTGTTGAACGGCTGCCCACCAACCTCCCATGCCAAGACCCTTAACTGGCTGAAGGTTGTCACAGTTATTCTTCGCCGTCGAAGGAAAAACTGTCTGGTGGCGGTAGACGGTTTTCTCGTGGCGTTTCCCTGTCGAGTGGCAGCCTCAGCTTCTGCAGACCCTCATCTCCCCATCCTGTGATCTACCAGCTATCCAGCCGTCCGGCCAAGAAATCATGACCATCCAACCGGAATCCTCATCTCCGCACAACTCGGTGTAAGATTTGTGGAGATCTGCATAGGACTACTGACCTGAAGTCGTATCTCTAGTTCCTCGTGCATGGACCGGCATACGGCCAGGCCAGTCTGCAGAATCGTGGCCTCGCCGGCCTCGTCGGGGTTCGCGATCCTAGTCTTTCTTGCATACTGCATATTCATCATAGCTCGTGCATGTATGTGCATTGCCACATGCACAAGTGGCTTCAGCACCATCCGTCTATTCTGGATTTATCCTCTCGTTTCGGATCAGCTCGTCTAGCCTCATGGGGTTTTCAAAAGAGTCACCACTCGCGTGCTAGTTCGGTACGAAGCCACGTTCTAGACCTTTCGTGTTTTAGCTGCCAAGCCTCACGGTCCCCGCGAATCTATCTCGGGTCTTGAGAGTATGGAAAATACTGCGGGGAGACACGATCTCGGCCGACTTTTCAGAAATAGTTCATAAGTGCCGGGCTTCATCGCGATATCTCGATCAGAATGAAGTTATCCACCACTCTCATCTCTCACAGTCTGATATCTGGCAAACTGGTCTAGCCGACTCAGACACATCTTCATCATGTATTCGGCAAAGTCGATCTTCTACGCGGCCTTGAGTGCTTCGGTCTCTTTCACATCTGTACAAGCACAGGTTGCAGACTATCCCTTCGACATTAACGGAGCGTTCGAAGGGTAAGCATACGTCCCTCCAGTCATATGACAGTATTTGGTGAACTTCAGACTGACATGGAAACTGCAGTGCTTCTGCCAGCACAACAGAATTCAACACCGGCGGCACCTTCAGGTGCAATGGCCACGCCATTACTGTGCCAAAGAATCTTCAAGTCACATTCCCAGCGGCCTTCATCCCTTTCAAGGAATTTGTGGGCAGCAGTGGCGGCTACACTGGTTACAACTGCGAGGTCACAGGCAATGTCGTCAACGGGGTTCCCATTGCTGCTCAGGTCTCAATCGCCCAATCGCTTCTGAATGGTGCCTCTGGTTTCGTTGATAGCGTGAACACTGATGGCCGGATCAAGTTGACGGACGGAAGCACCATCCGCATCAACGACCCTAACGCTATCTACTCCGTCGGATACACTTCCCAGCCTTTCTTCACTGCAGACGACGCCAATCCAAGCATCAGCTCTTTCTCTGGCTTTCCCATGTGCGTTCCGCGTAGCGCCACCGATGCTCTCTGCCCTCAGTCCAACAGACCAGATGTTACCCCTGGCGTCAAACAAGGACTTTTGTAAGTCTCGAAGCTCACTTTTGTCCGAAACTTTCTAACAATTCTTTTTCAGCAAAGCGCCTGATGCCCTGGTCATGGCTCCTATTGTAGCTGGCGATTTCGTTGAGTACTCTGGTGTTCAGTCCGGTAGCGAGATCATCGTCTACAACCTTGTCGTGAGCAACGTCCAGATTACCACCTCGGGCGCTCCGACGTACATCCGTATGGAGGATGCCAACATTGGTGTTTGGACCGCCGACACAGTCAACCAGGAAATCGCACAGACCAGAGTCAGTTACCATGCCGCTGTTTCCGCATCATGAAATGCCCGTGTAGCTAACACAACACAGTTCGTCGGCTATACATCTGACTCTGCCGCAAATGTCAACCCCATCAAGATCTACGCCATTGAGTACGACCCGTGCACTGGCGAGGCCGTCGATCGTGAGATCGCGGGTGTGAGCGTGCCCAGCACCGAGGTCCGCAACAAGTTTGAGTACCGCATTAAGGCGACCCAAAACGACAACTACGCCCGCGAGTACCGCGTCGTCGCCGGCACCGGCACCGTGAAGACCAAGAACGGTGTTATGGCCGGCCAATATGTCATGCCTGTCTCGGAATGGATCCAGCCCGAAGACTCCGTCCCCGGTCGCCCTCCCAGCCCGCATGACTTCCGCAGCTACGCCTTCTTGACTAAGGGGCTGGGTCGTGATGCCGAGGGCAACCTCTGGGGCCCACTGAACCCCTTCCCTCAGACTGGTGCTACCCTGTACGACAACTCCAAGTGTCCTCCCGCTACCACCCCTACCACTGGCACTGGCACTGGAACAGGTACTGGTACCGGCACAAGCACCACCCCTGTCACCGCTGCCAGCAGCTCGGCGGCGGCCGTCAAGTACAAGGATGTCGTGACGATGCCCACCTACAATTGGGTCTCATCGCAGAGCGGCACGCTCACCGTCGGCTGCCAGTCCAACAGCACCGACGATGCCGCGGTCGCGATGAAGCTGAGCTACACCAACAAGGACGGTACCACCACCGGCCTCGCCATGACCTCCGGTGGCAAAGGTCTCTGGAACTTCAATAGTAACAAGATCAAGCAGCCCACAACTGGAACGGTCATTTGCAAGAGCGGTCTTGGCGGCCAGGTAGCGCGCTGAAGTGTTTGACAGGAAAAACTGGCCGTTGATCTTTTCGTGGTTTAACTTTGGCGTTTTGTTTGGGATTTCGGTGCGCGATACCTTTTAGATTCACTCCGTAGATTCCATGTTTATGAATGATGACCACTATTGCAATAAATTTCCCCTATCGCCGTGTTCATACTTTGCCAGATGAGGATAGTCAACGCCGCAAGCTTATGTGCCAAGACAATTCTATAAGTCATGAGTAATCACTACGACTAGAGAAGTGCGTCGGTGATTGACAATATCAGTATAGGGTCTGGGGCTCGGACGACTAGCCACATTCTGAATTCACTTAGAGACCCCGCGAGTTTGAGAAAAGGAAAGGATAGCCGACTAAGTCAGTCCTTAGCGTTGCGCTTTCGAGTCATTTGGGACGAACAATCAATGTTTTGGTATAGATGAGGGGGGGGCGTTGGACTTTTGGGGCGCTAAAGATAGACGAGCTAACCACATGCTCTTTGGCTGCTCCGAAGACGTGCGGCTGAGCGTGAGAGGATTGTTTCGGTGATGTTGGTTACTGCGTCCCCTTATTTCGGGACAGAGGTTCAGGTTTTTTGTGGGGGTGCTTCCTCTAAAAGGGAATCTGAGGTTTTGTTATAGATATCTACAATCCCAACATCGCAACAATCCAGTATGGCTTTCTTTGTGATATAAGTCTGTGAACGTCTCCAAGAACGTTTGGCTCTATCATCTAACTACGTCAGTGGAAAAGGGGTAGCAGCAGAAAAGATAACGCTTCACGTCTGAGTCCATTTCCCTTATTCCTGGTCTCAAAATGATCAAAAAAGGTCTGTATGAATAATGAACTAAGCTGGATAACATATCTAGTAACGCCATGTATGACTTGTTGGAATATTCATCGAGGGAAGGCAAGTAGCTAGGCCGGCATCTACCCGGACGTCAGGGCTATGCCAGACATTGGTGTTTAAGTCTTTTCAAATCAATTCAGCCGACTTCTAAATTTGGCACGATCCTCACAAAGCAAGATTGTTGAGAACAAGTCCTAGTGTTTCTAATTTCTGATGCTGAGCAATAGTTTCCGTTCCCTATTGATCCAGTATCAGCCTCATCTTTATGGGCGGTGTGAAGTGAATGCGTGTTGAACAGCTTATCTGTTGCTAGTATTAAGATGACTAGGGCAAATCGGGAAATCCCTCGCCAAACTCTTGTTGAGGATGAATCTGTGCAAACTCCAGGTGATGAGGAAGCCTTGGATCAGGCCCAGGATGAAGCTTTTCCCGGTGACGGTAACATTTAAGACAAAATTGGAAGTCAGGACATCTCCGACAGGAGTATACCCGGCCGATTACGTGCTACTCATATAATACATGGCATTAGCAACACATCCATTCAGGAACATGAGTTAGATAGCTTTTTGCGCAAGATGTAGGAACACATACCGATTGACAACAAGAGCAAATCATTTGGTGATGTTCATAGCCCGCTCTTCCTCTTTCGTCTTTGAGCTTCTGAAGCTCCTTTGGGTCACTCGCCTTCGACAAGGCTGCAATGACATCTTTTCCGCTGTTATGGAAATAGGCGATTTCCACTGGATACCATTTTACCTTATCCTCTCTCACACACTTCACTCGGCCATTAGCACCGCTGTTGAGGAGGTGCTCGATCACCTCTACTTGGTGTTGAGAATCCTTCTGAGCAAACTTTGCTTTCGAGGTTAGACCTCTAGCGGCCCAGCAGAGTGCCGTCCAGCCATCCTTGTCAGCTTGATTGACATCGACTCTGCCAGATGAGAGAATGGTTTTGACAGTTTGAACTTCTCCGCTTTGAGCTGCCCAGTGTAAAGCAGTGCGACCGGTCTTGTCCGCCAAATTGAGATAGCCATCTCCCTTTTTGGAAAGGAGCTGTGAAAGGCCCAAGTACCTGTCATAGGAGTGAACGGCTGCGAAGTGAATCGGTAAACGACCCATCTGATCGGCAATAGTTAGGTTCGCTTTCAGTTTCTTTGAGAGAACCGTCCAGGTGCTATTTAATGGTAACAGACAAGCCAGGTTGAGCGCAGTGCCGAAGAATCCGCAATTTTGATCGACCTTTGCCCCGGCCTTCAATACGAGATACTCGAGAATCTTATCGGTTTCAGATTGAAGCACCCGCTCCTTGCCAAAGCACGCGGCCTGCAAAGCATTGCCCATAAAGCCTTGGGAGACAAAATTCGCATCCGCACCGCATTCCTTATGGAGGAACTGAACCATTGCCAGATTGCCGTCAAAGCATGCCTTATTCAAGGCGGTACCATATAGGGAGTTGTCCAAATTGACTTTGGCGCCTACCTTAATCAATTCCTTGATCATTGGCTTCATATCTCCCTTCTCCCAAAGTTTATTGAGTGAATGCGGATCGTCGTCTCCGGATCTGACAAGATTGATCAACGGTGTGCAGCACCTTTGAGAACATACAACGTTGAATTCGTCTCCGTGTTTAAGATGATGCGTGATCTTGAGCAGCATGCTTTTAGAATGTCCTTGGGTCGCATGCAGGAGGGCTGTGTTGCCATGATTGTCGACATATTTGTCATCCCACAAGAATCTTTTCGCTTTAACAGAATTGTCCAAAGCGAGTTCGGAAAGACGTAAAGGAAGATTTCCACATCCATCGATATGGAGTCTTGCGCCGCCTTCATGCGATTGCGGGCTTGAGCTTCTTTCGCTCGCATTGGATGTCGATGGAGAAGGCATGATTGGAGCTAGATGCTTTTGAAAACGTCAAAGAGGTCGTTTTGCTTTTGCTTTTTTGAGGGACCGTGGGCGATGTTGGAGAGACTGATGATGGGGTAGCTGTGAGGTTGCTCATGATGAGAGATCGTAGGAAGTTGTTAAGTATTTCATATCCAGTGGTGAAATTGATGCAGATCAAATGAAGCTCTACTGTTCACTAATGAAAGAATCGTGTTTGTGTAGTACAGAAGTAGTACGCGGTAGCAATCTGTCTTTATTCTCCTCCGAACCCAACCAGTCAAGCTGAATAAGTCAACATACCCACTTCCTGGCACCCCCCTGTTTCTGGCACCCACAAAAACGCGAAAATCCACCACAACCCAATGCCCACCCCCAACCTCCTTTTATCACAACATTTTCAATTCGCGTCCAAATGGGCTCATCTTTTGCACATGTCTTCTTCTATATATAATGCCTCAATATACCGAAGATCAGCTTCGTCAGGCTCTCGAGGA